GACTTCCACAAAGCAAACCGACATTGGGCTACACGGTCCAGTGACAGTCGAACTTCTCCCCCCTCCGACGCCACGGCTTCTTCGTGACGTGCGACCCTGGGGCTCTCGACCCCTGCCCGGAGCCGTCTTTCGACCCCAAAATCCGATGATCCTCAGAACGCGTGTCAGCGCCAACGCGTGTTTGTCCGTCGAGGCCCCTTGACACGACGCAGGCCCCTTGACACGACGCACGACACTTGGGCTAAGCGGGGTAAACACACACTGGGCAAACGCACGCCCTGAAGATCATCGACAAGCACCAGCTCGACGGCCCTGGGGTCCGGAACGGGGCGGGCCCCTCTGAGACCCAAAGTGCGGGCAGCGGCCAGCCGTCACGACTCTGCTCGTGACGCCCGATCCGCAGGCTTGAGATCACAGATCACGTGGGCACCAGCCGACGCCTCGGTCGATCGTGCAACCATGCTGGGGATGCCGCGATCGGCGATTCGGGGGGACGCGCCGATTCCGGCCTGCACGAGCTCGGCGCAGCGCAAGCCCGGCTCGGCCAATTCAAGAGAACTGCACTGCATTTTTTGGGGGGGGTCCTGAGCCCGGCTCAGCCAATACTAAAACGTATGTACGACCACCTCTGGGGCCGTGAACCGGCTCCCACACCCGCAGCGGCCAGAATCCATCCCTGCAGGATCCTGCAAGAGCTGGCGCTCTGGCTGGCCCCCGGCAGGGCTGAGCCCCTGCACGTGAGCCCCCACCGATCCTGGCCAAGTCTTGGGCCCCGGGGGCTCCCGGAGACCCTCGCGTTCTCCCCGCCCTTCGCCCCCGCGAACACCGCCGACGTCGAGCGCCCATTGCCGCGCGTGCATCTTTTGGCACAGCTTGTCACGCCGTGCTGCGCCGACCCCGGGCGACCGCCCCCGACCGTCCACGGGCCTCCTGGGTTGGGCTGTCCGACAGGGCGCGGAAGACGGCCCAAAGGCCTGCCCAAAGAGGACTCCGCACGGGGCAGGGCAGATCTGGGTCACACTCGGGGCCCCGAAGGCCTGAACACGCTAGACCAGGAGATCCAACATCTCTCGAAACCATTGCTGTACGAAACAAAAACTGCACTGTAACGCTTCCGGAATAAACCTGGGCACAGGCCCTCAAAGCGAAAAAAACACACCCTAGACCCGGACAAAGAAACGAATCCTGCAAAGCAGCAACAAAGACTTTCCCTGGACGACCAAATTTGACCTTGCAGGAAAGGGTGTCGTTTCCCCGGCTTGTCAATGTCCTGGTCAGTCTGTGTCCTGGTCTCCGGGGGCCTGACACCCAACTTGGCGCCTGGTGCCGGGCGAAGCTCGCACGTTTTCGCACCTTCGCGCCGCCCACCTCCCCAAAGAGAAGAACGCCTCTCCGGCCCCGACCGCGACGCACGAGCGGGTGACATGTGGCGAGTCGGCGCAACGGCCGTGCTCGGCCTCCGCCCAAGTGGGCCCCGGAGGCCCCAAGAGGGCCCCAATACACACGCGTCGGCGCTACGACGCCCCAGTGCGGCCTTGCGACTGGCAGCACTGCAAAAGGCCCCCAGAAGCACCGCAATATACCTAAGGCGCCCTCCAGCAGGCCCCTGGGAGACAACTTGGGTTTTCAAAAATGTGTCCTGCCACCCCAGGAGGGCTCAGCATGGCATTCGTTCGGCTCTGGGCGCCCCTGGGCCGCCCGCGACGACCACTGGTCCAGGAGGTCCCTGGTGGGGCCCAAGGCGGCTCTAAACTTGCGCCTGGCTGCCTGTGGCGATCTCAAGACGGCAAACATCCCCAAGACGGCCCCAACACGGTCCAGAACCGCTCAGAGACGCCCCCTCTGATGGCCTACGACCGGCCCAAGGCTGCCCAAATTCAGACCCCCCAGCACAGCGCCGGGAACCCGCCGAGGCCCACGGAGCCCCAACTTTTTTTGGCCAGCGGCCGCAAGGGATCAGACGGCGGGCGAGCAGCTGCGGGTCGCGCCGGTGCGAAGTGGGGCAAGGGAGGGCGAGGGCGCGAGGGGAACGGGGCCGCAGGGGGGCCAGGCGGGAGCCACACTGAGGGGAGTCGAAGTCCTGGAGCGGGCATGAGGGTGGTGCCACACATGGTGCCCACGGGGTGGCCCCGAGCAAGGATGAGAGCGGAGCCCCAACACGCGCCTCCAGGTCGCGCAGAGGCTCCTCCCCAAAGGTCCCCTGAAGTCCCCGAAGAAGCCCGCAAGAAACAACGCGACATCCATGAACTCCCCAAAAGCTTCTGCGCGTGAGTCGTCAATGCCCATTGCAGCGCCCGCAAACAAAATAGTATTCAGAAGGACGGCTGCAACATTTTGGTTGTGCGGGCAAGACGGAGTCGTTGACCAAAACCATTGATCTAAGAATTCACGATTGCCGGAAACAAACAGCTAGCGGCAACAGCCGCTGGCTTCGCAACGCCCACCTCGCGCCACCCCGCCGGGCCATTGCGGCACGTGCTTCTTTCAGGCACGCGTTTCGTCACTTCTTGTCCTTCGCTACCTTCGCTTTCTTCGGCTTCTTCGCGAGGCCCGCCGCCTTGTCCGCGAGGCCCGCCGCCTGGTCCACGAGGCCCGTCGCCTTGTCTGCGATACCTATAGGAGGCCACACGCGAACCCCAGCCCACCTCCCCCCTGTTAGACATCGTTGGGTGGTGAGGCAGGGTTCGCAGGTGGCCTCCGAACCCACTGTCTTTAGAGAGAGGTGGGCGTCCTAAGGGCAACGGGCCCCCGACCCAGGGCCGTCTCCCAGGACCAACAATCCTTCGCCCCGGGTCCTTCTCCGAGAGCCCGAGGCCTGGGCCCTGCGGGGGGGGGGGCCAGGAGTCAGGGAAAAGCCTCAGGACCCGCGTCCATTCCTTGGGAGAAAAAGATAAGCTTAGGTCGGGCATGTCCTCCTGCAGGCGGGCGTTGGAGAAAGTATCAAACTTAGGCTAGCAATCAGGAGTGGTCAAAGAAGCACGAAAAACCGTGACCAGACTATAGATTTACAGTTATATTGAATACTCCCCCTGTAGAGGGACATGCCCGACTTAAGAATAAACAACATAAACATAACTTTCGGAGCTCTGCGCGGATGTCTTGGATCCGCGCTGACCCCCCCCCCTCTGGCGCGCGGAGCGCGCCAGGGGCGGCGCTAGAGGCACCGCCAGGGGGGTCCAATGCAGATCCGAGAAGTCCGCGCGGAGCGTCGAAGTTTATGTTTGTGCCGTTTTTCCTTCTTCAACTCACGGCAGGCCTTTCGCCGCGTTCGAGACCGCGCCGGTCAGGCCGCCAGCGGCGGCGTCGCTGCTCGGAGCGGGCGCCCCGAAGAGGAGGACGTTCAGCATGAGGTTGCCGTGCCTGTTCGGGCCGTTGTCGGAGCCGTCCGGCTCCCCCGTGGTGCGATCCCTGTAGCCTGCGGGCCCCACCTCGGAGGCCAAATGGGACGCACAAGGACATGCTAGCACTATGTGTCCTCATTGGAGGCGTGCGTCCGATCCGGACACGTAGTACAGCCATCTTGTGGCGCATCGCTTCCCGAACGGTATGGCCAGAAAGCGCCCGCCACAGAGGTTGTACAATACGATTTCTCAGCGCGCGCGTCGCCCCTCGCCCCTCGACCCTTGGCGGGCGACGCGCACCTCGTATCAGCACGGCCAGACCTATGACAGCAGAGCACGCTTCAAGAACATGACACAGCCCGACGGCCAAACTGCGGGACACTCGAGGGCACCCTCCCCGAGCCCTCCCCTAGGACGCACGAAAACATCCAACACACACGAAGAGCAACAGTGTACCCTCCCCACACCGACCTCGATCTTAAACCTCGATCCGAACGTATGTTTTGAGCAAGGACTGACCGTCCTGGCATTTACATAGGCCTACCACGAAATATCTGTAGATCCAAAAATGTTCTACCATCAAAAACAATGTTCTTATAACATAAATCCGATGTGCTAAAACAAGACAGTCTGAATCACAAATGTTTGACTAACATTTCGCGCAGACCGCAACAGGTCATTATAACATTAATCGGCGAGCCTATAAACAAGCCAGGACCTTTCGCCACTGCTTGAATGTTGGGGTGACGCCGACCAGGCGACGGACGGAGGCGGGCGGCTGACAGCCGAAGCATGGCCACGAGGCGGCTCCAGAGGATGCGTCGGGCGCCGCGGCCTTCTCGCAGCGTTCCCGAACGCTCTCAGAGCGTCCCGGAACGCTCTGGAACGGCTTTACCATCGTCCAAACCCCGCCCAGGGAGCCCATGCACGAATGACAGAAGGGCGCCCCTCCGAAGCCAGAGCTGCGCCTCACTAGGACGAAGCCAAAACGAGGAGAACATTGGGTGAGGATGATCCGAAGGCTCGGAGGGGCCCCGGCATCGCGGGCAGCTTTCTGAGCCTCCTCCCGAGACACGGGCGGCTTCTCAAAAGGCGCGAGGGTTTATGAGAAACCCCGCCGCCTTCTGAGAGGGCCTGCCCCCTCTCGTTCCCCACCCCCCCAAGCTCGCCGCCGATCCTAGGAAGTCCCCACGAACGGGCCAATCCCCTCTAAGACGACCCCCTTCTCGGATCCTAGAGTGCCGCACCCCCTCGTCGCACAGGGACGCCCGCCGAAGGTCCCAACTGGCAGGCAGAAGCGGGGAGAGGAGGAGGAGGAGGAGGAGGAGGAGGAGGAGGAGGAGGAGGAACACCTCCGGCAACGTGACTTTCTCTCGCGACGCGGGCCTTCTAGCCCTCGATCCCCTCCCTGAAATTGTGCGTTTCGCATCGCGGGCGATCGCGCGATGGCCCTAGGCCCCCCAACCATATGCAGTTACGAATACCGCAGAGCAGGTTGAACGAATGAGAGGGAACTCCCTAAGGGGCCACGAAACGTGTGAGGGGTGTGCCGAAATGGGTGCGGTGCCGCCATGCGAACGCAGCCACTGGGGCCCTCGGTTGAGCTCCCTATGGGGCCACGAAGCGTGTGAGGGGTGTGCCGACATGGTTGCGGTGCCGCCATGCGAACGCAGCCACTGGGGCCCTCGGTGGAGCTCCCTATGGGGCCACGAAGCGTGTGAGGGGTATGCCGAAATGGGTGCGGTGCCGCCATGCGGACGCAGCCACGGGGGCCCTCGGTGGAGCTCCCTATGGGGCCAAGAAACGTGTGAGGGGTGTCATTTCGGCATGCGAACGCAGCCACTGGAGCCCTCGGTGGAGCTCCCTATGGGGCCACGAAACGTGTGAGGGGTGTGCCGAAATGAGTGCGGTGCCGCCATGCGAACGCAGCCATTGGGGCCTTCGGTGGAGCTCCCTATGGGGCCACAGCGTGTGAGGGGTGTGCCGAAATGGGTGCGGTGCCGCCATGCGAACGCAGCCACTGGGGCCTCGGTGGAGCTCCCTATGGGGCCACGAAACGTGTGAGGGGGTGCCGAAAGCTGCCGCCATGCGAAACGCAGCAATGGGGCCCTCGGTGGAGCTCCTATGGGGCCACGAAACGTGTGAGGGGTGTGCCGAAATGGGTGCGGTGCCGCCATGCGAACGCAGCCACTGGGGCCTTCGGTGGAGCTCCCTATGGGGCCACGAAACGTGTGAGGGGTGTGCCGAAATGGGTGCGGTGCCGCATGCGAACGCAGCCACTGGGGCCTTCGGTGGAGCTCCCTATGGGGCCACGAAACGTGTGAGGGGTGTGCCGAAATGGGTGCGGTGCCGCCATGCGAACGCAGCCACTGGGGCCTTCGGTGGAGCTCCCTATGGGGCCACGAAACGTGTGAGGGGTGTGCCGAAATGGGGGTGGAAGGCATGCGAACGCAGCCACTGGGGCGGTGGAGCTCCCTATGGGGCCACGAAGCGAAAGGGGTGTGCCGTGGTTGCGGCGCCGCCATGCGAACGCAGACTGGCCCTCGGGGAGCTCCTATGGGGCCACGAAGCGTGTGAGGGAATGTGCCGGTGCCGCCATGCGAACGCAGCCATTGGGGTCTTCGGTGTGAGCTCCCTGTGCGGCCACGAAACGTGTGAGGGGTGTGCCGAAATGAGCTCGGTGCCGCCATGCGAACGGCAGCCACTGGAGCCTTCGGTGGAGCTCCCTATGGGGCCACGAAGCGTGTGAGGGGTGTGCCGAAATGGGTGGTGGGGAAGCATGCGGACGCAGCCACTGGGGCCTTCGGTGGAGCTCCCTATGGGGCCACGAAACGTGTGAGGGGTGTGCCGAAATGAGTGCGGTGCCGCCATGCGAACGCAGCCACTGGGGCCTTCGGTGGAGCTCCTATGGGGCCACGAAGCGTGTGAGGGGTGTGCCGAAATGGGTGCGGTGCCGCCATGCGAACGCAGCCACTGGGGCCTTCGGTGGAGCTCCCTATGGGGCCACCCGTGTATGGGTGCCGCCATGCCAACGCAGCCAGTGGGGCCTTCGGTGGAGGTCCCTATGGGGCCACGAAACGTGTGAGGGGTGTGCCGAAATGTGGGTGCGGTGCCGCCATGCGAACGCAGCCACTGGGGCCCTCGGTGGAGCTCCCTATGGGGCCACGAAACGTGTGAGGGGTGTGCCGAAATGGGGCGGTGCCGCCATGCGAACGCAGCCACTGGGGCCTTCGGTGGAGCTCCCTATGGGGCCACGAAACGTGTGAGGGGTGTGCCGAAATGGGTGCGGTGCCGCCATGCGAACGCAGCCACTGGAGCCCTCGGTGGAGCTCCTTATGGGGCCACGAAACGTGTGAGGGGTGTGCCGAAGTGGGTGTGGCTGACGCGGAGGGGGAGGAGGGAGGAGGGGGCAGAGGAGGAAGGAGAGGAGACGCGGGGCACCGTCTCTTCAAAACGAAGACCCAACACCACAGGATGGTTGGGAAAAAACAAACAACCGTCGAGATCACGCAAAAACGCCCGTCGCCATGTGCTCTCCACGACGCCCGCGAGGTCTGCCACTTCCCACCACTCTTCCTCACTGCGCTGACTGGGACCAAACGGTGGGCGAAAGGCAACGCGCACGAACTGCTCTGCCCAAGCACGCGGGGGCCGACGCGCGGCCCTGGTCGTCGCGCGAGGGCACCTCTTAGCACGATTCCACGGGGCCCCGCGCGGCGCGCATGCAGCGGGCGCCCCGCTAACAAGCCCAATGGCGCAGCCAAAAGATACAGCGAAAACGAATACAGTATTCTACAGCTCAAGCCATTCGAATCCCGCCATAAAAGCTAGGAGGGACAACTTTCGTCGGCGAACAAAACGCCACATGACGGAGCGCAGGTGCTCGGCCATTGCACAGGGGGGCGCCTGCCCCGACTTGCTGGGCGCCAACGCCAACGTCTCCCTGATCCTATCCAGCAAGGCGCGAATCTGGGCGCCCCCCGCGGACGCCGCGCGCGAGTCGGAAAATGCGCTGGGGCGCGAAAGCGCGACCCCTGCGCTGAACGCTTGCGCTGTGAGGAAAGTCGAAGCACTAACGAATCCACTTCCTCATCAACCATTAATCGCCATGGCTCAGAAGGCGGCCCGCGAGGCGCAGCCAGTTTCTGCGGCCCCCACGAGGCCAGCTATCGCGACCCCAACTAGACGTCCTCCTACCAGAAAATCGGATCCGTTTGGGGGAGTCGTCGGACGGCGGCCGCCGCGGTGCCCCTGCCAGGGAGCCGCGAGGCAACGAGCTCCTGGACCACGAACTGGCCGATCTCGAGGAGCAGCTACATAAGCACAGGGAGGAGTGAGCATGGAGCGAGGATGGCATATAGGGCTTTCGTGTCTTCCAGTCAGGCAGCTATTGGGCGCGCGCTTCCAAAAGGAGGGTCAACGACCAGGCTCTGGGCTACGCTCGTGGGGCCGCCTGCAAGAAGTGGCGAGGTCGATGGTCTTTCCCGCGCCAGCGCGGCATTTCATTTCCCAATTACACCGTGGAAGGTGCCGATCAGCCAGCCATGGATCATTGCCGCAGGGGGTCGATATTCCTACAACATCTCGAGTAACGCTGGCCCCCGCAACTGCTTCCAATACACGCCAGCCCACACCATCGCCTGTAATGAGAGCATACAGTCCCTGGACTACACGACCGGCGGCATGGATATCAGGGACTTCCAGCCCACCAACCCATGAGCAGAGAAAACACTTCCATCACGCGACACGATCAGTCCGCAGCAATCACGCATTACGGGCGCATTCGTCGCGCGCTAATCTTACACTAGTCGCACACTACTGCCCCACGAATCCCGCAGCAATCGCGGCACTACTCGCGCACTAATCACGCACTAATCCCGCACTAATCTCGCACTAATCTAGCACTAAGCGCGCACTAAACGCGAACGAATCACGCACGACTCACGCACTAATCGCGCACGAATCGCGCACTAATCGCGCACTGCTCGCGCACTAATCGCGCACAAATCGCGCAGATCGCAGGCTGGGCGGGAGCGGCGGCCCGCACTGAGAGCCCGCGAAGTTATGCTTTATTTTCTATGATTTCACATTCGCTTTGCACACTGTCACGGCGCTTTCAGACAAATCCCGACTGTTTTGAAATGAGGGGCAGGCGGGGCGCCCTGTCGAAATTAGCGCCGGGTCCCCTTTCCCCTGAAGCGTCAACGCAAGGCGTCGCTCAGCGGGGCACCACCCTGGGGCAGCACTTGGGGGGCGGTCAAAACGGCCGCCCCCGGGCTGCCCCCGGGCAAACCGGTTCGACGCGGCTCTACTCTACTCTCTCTCTGATGTACCCTGCGCTGCTCCATGTCTCCCAGCATTACTCCATCTACCGTGCCTTACTCTACTCGGATACGTTGTCTTCCGGCGCAGCCAACTTTTCTCTACTCGACTTGACCCTGCTCAGCGCCACTCAACTCTGCACTCCACTCTGCTCGACTCAACTCGACCCTGAGTCCTTCTAGTCCTACACTTCTCTATTTCTACCATACGTTGCTCAACTCTGCTGCGTTCTTCTCGAATCTGCTCTGCTCTATTACACTGTATTCCTGAGTTGAATCTCTGCCCTGCGATAGTCGGGGCGTCATTGGAACAGCCAGAAGAAGCCACTGTAATGGCAGAGGAGGCCGCTGCAAAAGCAGAGGAGGCCATTGAAATAGCAGAGAAAGCCATTGCCCCTTGCACTCGTCTGGGGCGACAAAAAATGTGACTCTCAGCGGACCAATCAAAACCTGATGGCACCGTTCCAAAATCCTGGCCCCTGTGGGCTGGAACAAGACGGCCTCCCGCGTAGAAGTAGTAATCGCAATGCTGGTAGTAGCAACAAGAGCAGAAACCTGAGTCTCAGTGGTAATACGATCGGAAATAACAGCACTAGTAATATTGTTCGTCGTCGTACGAATCGTATTTGTAATAGTAGCCGTCACCGTCGCGGAAGTAATAGTAATAGTAGTAGTAGTAGTAGTAGTAGTAGTAGTAGTAGTAGTAGTAGTAGTAAAAGTAAAAGTAGTAGTAGTAGTAGTAGTAGTAGTAGTAGTAGTAGTAAAAGTAGTAGTAGTAGTAGTAGTAGTAGTAGTAGTAGTAGTAGTAGTAGTCGTAGTCGTAGTCGTAGTAGTAGTAGTAGTAGTAGTAGTAGTAGTAGTAGTAGTCGTAGTCGTAGTAGTCGTAGTAGTAGTAGTAGTAGTAGTAGTAGTAGTAGTAGTAGTAGTAGTAGTAGTAGTAGTAGTAGTAGTAGGGGGTAGAAGTACTAATCAGAGTGGTAGTAATGGTGGTAGTAGTCGTAGTAGTAGTAGTAGTAGTAGTAGTAGTAGTAGTAGTAGTAGTAGTGGTAGTGGTAGTGGTAGTAGTAGTAATAGGAGTTGTAAGATATAGTAGTAGTAGTAGTAGTAGTAGTAGCAGTAGTAGTAGTATACGCAGTTGTAGTATCCGTAGTAGTAGTAGTAGTAGTAGTAGTAGTAGTAGTAGTATAGTAGTAGTAATAGCAGTAGTAGTATAGTAGTAGTAGTAGTAGTAGTAGTAGTAGTAGTAGTAGTAGTAGTAGTAGTATAGTACCTATACTACTACTACTACTACTACTACTAACTACTACTACTACTACTACTACTAGTAGTAGGTAGTAGTAGTAGTAGTGGTAGTGGTAGTGGTAGTGGTAGTAGTAGTAGTAGTAGTAGTAGTAGTAGTAGTAGTAGTAGTAGTGGTAGTGGTAGTGGTAGTGGTAGTGGTAGTGGTAGTGGTAGTGGTAGTGGTAGTGGTAGTGGTAGTGGTAGTGGTAGTGGTAGTGGTAGTGGTAGTGGTAGTGGTAGTGGTAGTGGTAGTGGTAGTGGTAGTGGTAGTGGTAGTGGTAGTGGTAGTGGTAGTGGTAGTGGTAGTGGTAGTGATAGTGGTAGTAGTATCCGTAGTAGTAGTAGTAGTAGTAGTAGTCGTCGTAGCAGTAGGAATAGTAGTAGTAGTAGTACTACTACTACTACTACTACTACTACTACTACTACTAGGAGGAGTAGGAACAGAAATAGTAGTCATAATAATACTATAATCGTAGATTCGAAAAAAATCGAGTGGTAGTCTTCTCAAGAAGGGCAGCAGCAGAAGCAACAACAAAATTATGAATGAACGTACCAGGTCGAACAACACCAGCAGCACCAGCTGTCGTAGCAGGAAAAGCAGCGGGAACAGTAGCAGTAGTGGCATTGGTAGGACGGTTTCACCCAGTAGTAACACTGGCAATACGACAGGAGCCAGTAGAGCGAGCACGGCTTACCTGCAATGGTAGTTGTAGCGTTGAAACAAAGAAATACAAGCAAAGCCGCGGTTGCAGAATACTAGTAGGGTAACTGCGGATACAAATGATCATCGTACAAAGAAAGGCTGTTCTGGCAGTATTGTTCTTTTTTCATAGTGTCGTTAATGTAGAACTGGCATTGATTAAACATCGAAGTCGTCCGCGTGGAGCTCATGTAGCAAAGCCAAGCTCTTGCCACCGCACTCAGTAAAACCCTCTCCAAAACAACAAAAAATGCCAGAGGGCCTTTGTGCTTGCTACGCTGGGCACCAGTGCGACGGCCTGGGGGGGGGGCGGGGGGGCGAGCATCTGCTGCTCCCCCGCACCTGCCCCAGGGTGAGCTGTCCAGCGATGGGGCAGCCCTTCAGGCCGAGCACGACCTTGGACATGGCCTCGGACATGGCCTCCTCCCCGAGCGCCCTCGCGACGCCGGCGCTGAACATGACGAGGCCGCCGAGGACGCCCTGCGCCAGCGGCCCGCTGTCCGCAACGTCTGCGACGAGGCGCTCTACCCCGGAGGCCAGCCCCTCCCTCGTTGCCTTCATCATGACGATATGGTCGCCCTCCTGCATCGCCGTAAACAGTTCCAGCGACCCCCCCGCTGTGCCCGTCCGTGCGAGGAGCATCTTGTAGCATCTGGCTCCAGACGCGTCCGTGTGGGGTTCGGCCATGGGGTATAGGGCCGTCTCGGGCTCCAAAAACAAGTCGGTGCCGGGCTTCACTTCGCTTCTACCTGATGCCTCGCTCCAGATTTTGTAGCGGTCGAACGCGGGCTGGTCGTCAATTGTTTCGATTGTCCTTCCTCCGTTGCTCACCTTGGTCACTTTGCCCTCGGCAATGATGTCAGAGTGCATGGCGCTGAGCTTGGTGAAGATCGGCACAGTAGGCCAAGCGAGAGTCACGCAAACGGTGTCTGGAACAACCTCGAGCCCGGCCGTGATGACGAAGTCCTGGCCGGCGATGTCGCCTCCAGACGTGCCCCCAAAGATAAGCGTCTCTCCCAGGACGTCCTGCACGCCCAGCAGGACCTCCTCCTCAGAAGGGGGGAAAAAAACGCTACAAAATAAGAACTTTTGGCGCTCCGCGCAGATTTCTCGGATCTGCGCCGGACCCCCCCTGCCGTCGGGGAGCGGCCCCGGCGCGGACCCAAGAAATCCGCGCGGGGCGCTCAGCAATGGCGCTTTTTCCCGTTCGACTCCTCCGCCCCCGCCGCGGCGGCGGAGAAGAGCGCGAAAGCGGGCGGGTCGCTCTCGAGCTGCTCCGCCGTGAGGCCGACGCGCTGCAGGGCCGCCGTCGCCGCCGCGGCGCCGGCGGAACGGCTCGCCTGCGCGTGCCCCTCGCCGTCGGTCTTCGGGGGCACCTGAGGAGACGCACCGTCGCGTCGCAAAAGAAAACGGGGCGCGAGGTTGTTGGCCAATTTCGGCCCTTCGGGGCCCTCGCCGGGCCTCGGGACCGTCACGAAACGACTCAGGATGAAGAAGCGGCCCCGGAGAAAGGGTCTGGACTTTTGGGGACGCCGTCCCGAAGAGATCAGGACGTCGCATGTCTGGGGCTGGTCACTCGCCGTGTCCCGGGACGCGCTCGGCCCAGCAGCTCGGAGCGGATCCAGCCGTGGCGGCGAGGGCCCCAGAGGTGACGAAGCAAGCAAGGGCCCCAGAGTAACCCTTTTGAAGGGGACCTGAGGTAGGAGGGCCACAAACATTAGGGATAGAGGGAGCGTTTCCTGCACGTATAACAAACCAAACCGCCGAGAATGATTACCCCTCGTGCGAAGACGGGGACCTGAGGGAGGCCACGTCTTCACTATGTTATTAGGGTCAGGGCTTCCTTGTCCTCGACGACGAGGGGGGCCCGTCGGTGTCAGTGTATATATGTTTCTCCTCCGCGTGCCCTGCCCTCGCCAGAAGAGTAGCGGCCCTGCGGGTCGGCGACGACAAAGGCCACGACGCCCTCGTAGCCGATGCCCGCCTCCGTGGCCACGCCGCTCTGCGAGCGGCCGCCGTGCACCGCGAGGGCGCTGCCGTCGGCCTGGGCCTTCGCCGCCAGCGTCCTGGCGATGGTCTTGACGCTCTCGGCGCTGGTCTTCTCGGCGGCAAAGACCAGGAGGAGGGAGGCCTACCGCGAGCGGCGAACGTATCCCTATGCATGCTCTCGCGGTCCAGAAACCGAGGCCCGATCCCCCTCCTCCCCCTCCTCCTCCCCCTCCCCATCCTCCTCCCCCTCCCCCTCCTCCTCCTCCTCCTCCTCCTCCTCCTCCTCCTCCTCCTCCTCCTCTTCCTCCTCCTCCTCCTCCTCCGCCTCCGCCTCCCCCTCCCCCTCCCCTCCCCTCCCCTCCCCTCCCTCCCTGGATACGCGGCCCCACGGATAAATTTGCGTCCCGCGCATCCGCGCAAAGCCGCCCTGCGTCCGCACGGTCGCGGCCGAGGAGACCGCACGGCGAGGCCGCGGATGCGGACACTCGGCGGCGAGCGGAGGGGGGGAGGGAGAGGGAGAAGGCCTTCTCAGAGGGCCCCCGCGCCCTCCGAGAGAAGTCTCTTCTGCGCCTTCGGGGAGGGCGCAGAACGCTCCTCGGACTCGAGCCCTCCGAGAGGGCCTTGTTCCTTCCCTCTTCCCCCCCCCGCTCGCCGCCGAGCGTCCCTCGCAATAGAAAAAGAAAAAACGCCCTAAACGTAAACTTCTGGCGCCCTGCGCGGATTTCTCGGATCTGCGCTGGACCCCCCTCCCTGGCGCGCGGAGCGCGCCAGGGGCGGCGCCGGAGGCGGCGCCGGGGGGGGGCCCTAGCGCGGATCCAAGAAAAGCCGTGCGGAGCGCCAAAAGCTTATGCTTCTGGTGTTGTATCTCCTTCTTCTTCTTCTTATTATTCTTCTTATTCTTCTTCTTCTTCTTCTTCTTCTTCTTCTTCTTCTTCTTCTTCTTCTTCTTCTTCTTCTTCGACTGCGAGCCTGCTGGAGCTTGCGAGCTCCGCCGAGCTTCTCGGCGAGCTTCTCGGCGACGTCCCCGGGCGGGGCGGACGCGTGCGAGGCGCACGCGGCGCTGGCGCACCAGAAGCCGCCAGGCCTCTCGAGCCTGGAGGCCCTGGGCCCCCTCGCTGCCTCGGTGGCGGCGCGCAGAGGGGGGGCACAGCCGGCCCGCATCACCATCGGGGAGACGTCAGACTCGGGTACGGGGGACCCGGGTCGGCCCCGGCGGGGGCCATCATAAAAATGACGAGACCCAAGCTGAAATCTGACGCGGGCTCCCGCTGCAGACGTCCCACAGAAACGGGACCGTCAAAATCCAGGACACGCTCGTCAAATAACAGTCGGCAAGCCCGATTTCCGGCTTACTCGAGTCTTACGTTTCCCCGACATAAGGATGCGCGATACAGTCGAAGCTGATCGGCAATGCATCGGCGATGCGGCGCGATCCTCCGACCCCATCTGCTCCAACACCATCCGAGAGGCCTGGACCCGAGGGGGTGCCAGTGGGGGGTGGCCCGCTTGCAGGGTGAAGGAAAGGGCCCTAACGGGGCCCTTTAGGGCCCCTCTTGGAGTCAGCAGGGGCCCAACAGGGGCCCTCGACCAGAAGAGACCTTCCACAAGAAACCCAGCCCTGAGACCCCAGGACGTCCACTGGTTTTGGTGTGAGAGCGTGACGCCCTCCATCGCAAAACCATCGGAGCCCAAGAAGCCCAGGGCACCCTGGAGGGGAGCAGGGTGTTTCTTGGCATGCGTCTCCACTGTAAGGATGCAAGGGCCGTGGACGCCCACTTCGAACTTCTCGAGCGGGGCGCGGCCAACGAAAGTGGCCAAGGGTGGACCAAGGCGGCAAGGAAGCAAGGGTGCCCTTGGGACCTGTCTAGCGGGTTGACTGTAGGGGGAGGGGGGGCTTCTCCGAAGGAGACTGCTCCTTAGAAGGCGCTCTGCATCTACAGATGAGGCCCGCGCCTTCTGCGATGGCAACTCATGGGAGCCTCCCATACCATCCTGTCGGCCCTTGCGAATCGACCCCAGTCGGCGCTCAATCGACGCTAATCGAAGCGAAATCGATGCTAATCGACGCTAGCCGACGCTGAATCGGCGCTATCTCATCGACTCCCAGACGCTAATCAACGGTAGTCGATGCTAAAGACGGAATTACGAGGGTATACAAGGCTCCGATAACTTGCTACGGAAGCCTTCTAAGCAGCAGGGGCGCTTCTGAGAAGCCTTCCACCTCTCCCCTATCATACCCCCTTCTGCGCGTAGCTGAGCCATGGAAGAGCAGCAAACAAGACGTGCACGTGCACCTCCAGAGGCCCGCACGGACTTTTCTCGGGTCGGCGCCAGGGGCCCGACACGCGAGCGCGGACCTCCGGAAGCTCGTGTCTACGCGGTTGGTTGCTCGCTGCCTGGAAGCCGCTCAACTCCCAGACGCCGCTCGAGTCGGGAAAGGCGGCCCCGAGCGACTCGGCGGCGGACTTGCCCCCGGCCAGCATGCAGTCGACCTTTGCGGGGGGCAGCTCGGCGACGTCCTGCAGGACGGCGCGAGTGTCTTTGCCATACTTGGGCAGCTCTGGCAGCTCGCAGACCTCCCAGTTCCTTGAGCGCACGGAGTTTCCGAAATAGGTCACGTCCCGCCCCGATGGGTTGTGGTCCGCAAGGGTCTTCACGAAGTGGAAAGTCTTGTGTTTGGGCTGGGGCTTCCGGTCCAGGTCACTGAAGCTGCCGATGCGGACGAACGTGATCCCTTTGTTCCTGAACACAGCCTGGTGCTCCTCGAAAGACAGCGTAGCGAAATACTGCGTCAGGCTGGACACGTCTTCGCAGGGGATCCCCAGCGACACCATGGCGTCCTTGCCCTCTGCAAGCTGCTCGGGCCACGGATGCTGCCCTGTGGCGGCCAGGAACCCCCAAACGTCGTCCCGGCACTTGTAGCTGTGGTAGAGGAAGTGCTCGCCGACGCACACTCCCTTGGGCTCGTTCCACTCCCCGCGAAGAGCGCCGTCGAAGCAGTAGGGCACCTGCACCATCTGGCCCACGGAGGCCAGCGACGTCTGCGCCTTCTCCGCCGAGCCGGTGCGCTTCCTCTGGAACAGCGCCAGGAAGATGGCGAAGGCCCCCGCGAAGCCGGTAACCACGTCCACCGTGCCGATGTGCGCGTGCTCCTCCGCCGTCTCCAGCGAGCCGCCGAATCGCGCCATGATGCCGGTCGTGGATTGGGTGAGGTCGTCGTACCCGATGTCCGCCACCATGCCCCTCGGCACATGGAGTCGTGTGAGACAAACTCAGTACGATGTGAACTGAAAAGTAAGCACATTTATCATATCTCTGGACACCGCCCTGGACAACCCAGACAACCCATGCTGATTCATGACGACAAGACGACCTGCCCCAGACAACCCCTCGGACAACTCAGCGGGGATCTGGACAACCTCCTCGAACAACGCCCCTTGGACAAGCCTCCCTGGGATTTGTCTTATATACGATATCGTAGCTGTCTGATAGTGTGCAGTTTTTCAGTCAAGGGGCGGCCACCCCCCCTCGGCGCGGGCATCTTGACCAGCGAACGCGCCCCTGGTGTTGTAGCCTGGCGTTCCGTTCGGCCTCATGGCGGCCCGACGTGCTAAGACCGACTAGATAGCTGTCAGATGCCCCGAAACCGGTCCAAGACGGCCCAACGACTCCCCAAGGAACCTGAGAGGCCCCCAAGAAGCACCAAGAGGCCCCGCGATAGCCTCAAGAGCCGAAGGAGTCCTCTAGCAAGGCTCGAGAGGGCCACTCATAGACGCCCCTGCGCCCTGAGGCACGGGTTGGAGTGTCCTCGAGTCTCCTGGAGTTCTCCGTCCTCAATCCTGAATGAATGAATATGGAAGGGCCTGGACCCCACATTGCCGGATTTCCTGGGGCTCTCCCGCGTGACTGAGGAGTGTTCTCGCACGACTTGTTCCGAGCCAAGAGGGGCCCAAGACGGGCCAGGAGGCCACCAAAATGCATCCAGAATGGCCCAAGGCGGCCAAATATCGCCGAAAGATCGCTCCAAGACTCCCAAGATGGACTCCAGGCGGCCCAAGATGCCCCCAACAAACCCCAAGAGGGCTCCAAGAGGCGTCCCAGGAGGGCCCTGACAGGCCCCCCAAGAGGCCCACATCGCGCCTGCAGAGGCCCCCGAGAGGCCCCTCAAGCCAGTCCAAAACCGCCTCCAAGAGGCTCCTGAGAGGCCTCCCAAGAAATCTCCACAGACATCCAAGAGGCCGATGACCAACAACGAAGGCACGGTCACGGAATTGACCGAAGTCCACATTTGTTTCCTCTAGTTCTCCCTCCCTCTCTCTCTCTCTCTCTGTCTATCCTTCTGTCTCTCTCTCTCTCTCTCTCTCTCTCTCTCCCTCTCTCTCTCTCCCCCTGTATCTCTCTTTCTCCGTGTATATATAAGATATACAAATATAAAGGTGTAGCTATATCCATCACCGTGCCTCTGGGCACGAAGTGGGCGTGTCCTCGGGTCTTGTGCCTACTCCTCTAAGCCTCACTCCTCACTCCTGAGGAGTCTTTGTAAAAAGGCCAGGAGCCCAAATTGACAAATCTCCCGAGAATTCCCTCGTGCCCCCTCGTGCCCCCTCGGGCCCAGGAGGGCCCGAAGACGGGCCAAGAGAGCCCCAAGAAGCCCCCAAGACGGTCCAAGAGGGCCTCGAATCGCCGAACGATCGCTAAAAGACGCTCAAGATTGCCCCCAAACGGCGCAATATGCCTCCACGACGCCCACAGAGGCCTCCAAGAGGCCTCCTAAGAGGACCCCTTAGAGGCCAAAGTCATTGATGCTCCGTAGGTGGTTGAAAGATGTTGGCTGTCTCGCCTCGGCGTCCCGACGCTCCCAGACAGCACTAAGGGCCCCCAAGCCCAACCCAAGACAGCCCACGAGGCCTCCAAGAGGACCCAAAAACGGCCCAAGAGGGCCCCAAGACGACCCAAGAGGCGCCCAAAACTGCCCAAGAGGGCCCCAAGACGACCAAACAATGGGCCCAAGAGAGGGAGCACGAACCAAACCTCCGAGCCCCGAGAGGCGCCCAGGAGGGCCCACGAGGCCCCGAAGAGGCCCCCAGGAGGCCCCAAGAGGCCCCAAAGAGACCCAAAAGAGCACCTACGAGGCCCAAACATTGCCCCCAAGAGACGTCCAACCTAACTCCAAGAGGCCCCCGAGAGGCCTTTCGCAGCATCACGACGCTGCTCCCCAAAGGACGGCTACTTCGAGACTTCAAGAGCGCTCGGCAAAGCCACCCCCAATACCCCAAATGCGGGCCCCAAGAATATACACCACCCCCACCTCCATACCTCCTCCCTCCTCTTCATCTCCTCTTTCGTGGGAGAGGGAGGGGGCGAGGAAGATGGTGGTGGTGATATATATAAATATATACATACATACATACATACATACATACATACATACATACATACATACATACATACATACATACATACATACATACATACATACATACATATACTAGTGTGGACCCGTGAATTAAATCCACGAAGTTGGGCGGATCGAAGCATGGTGGCGCGCGCTGGGTGGTGCGACGCTGCCAGCTACTGCCGTAGATCCCTTGAAGCTTGTTCTAGTGCTGTTCCCCCACCGAAGGCGCCCAATGCATCGAAACGGGGGCCGAAGTGTTCGAGCTTCGCAAGAGGCAGAAATTCAGGAGTCCAGGCCCGAGCAACGTTGGAAGATTCGCGCCGGGATCGCGGCGGACGCGGGAGCGGGTTCGAGCAAACGCGGCGCCGTCTCGGGCCACGTCGGAGGCGTCGGAACGGCGTCGCGGCAAAGTAGGGAGCGCAGCGGGGCAGCCTCAGGGCCACCGGAACGTCAAAACATGTGTTTTTACCTAACAGCGAAGACTGATAGGTTTCTAGTGGTCTAAAAAGAGAGCAGCACATTACTCCACAGGGGGGTCTGGGCAGCCGTTGGGGAGGTGTTGGGGTTTGCCGGCCGGGATCATTTTTCGCATACAGTCACACACTTCGTGCTCTTCGACCTCCCAGAACTCCATTCCCGGGCCACATTCTGAATGCCCGGAGCCAACTGTAGGCCACTTCGTGCTCTTCGACTTCCCAGAACTCCATTCCCGGGCCACATTTTTGCCCGGAGCCAACTGTAGGCCACTTCGTGTCTTCGAGTTCCCAGAACTCCAGGCCACATTTTGAATGCCCGGAGCCAACTGTAGGCCACTTCGTGCTCTTCGAGTCCCAGAACTCCATTCCCGGGCCACATTTTGAATGCCCGGAGCCAACTGTAGGCCACTTCGTGCTCTTCGAGTTCCCAGAACTCCATTCCCGGGCCACATTTTGGATGCCCGGAGCCAACTGTAGGCCACTTCGTGGTCTTCGAGTTCCCAGAACTCCATTCCTGGGCATGAATTTGAATGCCCGGAGCCAACTGTAGGCCATTCCCGGGCCAGATTTTGGATGCCCGGAGCCAACTGTAGGCCACTTCGTGGTCTTCGAGTTCCCAGAACTCCATTCCTGGGCATGAATTTGAATGCCCGGAGCCAACTGTAGGCCACTTCGTGTTCTTCGAGTTCCCAGAACTACATTCCCGGGCCACATTTTGAATGCTGAGGCAGGCTGAGGCTGAGGCTGAGGCAGGCTGATGCTGAGGCTGAGGCTGAGGCTGAGGCTGAGGCTGAGGCTGCTGAGGCTGAGGCTGAGGCAGCTGAGGCTGAGGCTGAGGCTGAGGCTGAGGCTGAGGCTGAGGCTGAGGCAGGCTGAGGCTGAGGCTGAGGCAGGCTGAGGCTGAGGCTGTGTCTGTGACTGCCGTTGCCACTGCGACTGTCATCGCGAATGCGACTACGACTGCGAGAACAGCACAATTCTACAACTGGATTCTCATCTGAATCTTAAGAGGAATGCTTCCAGATATGCTCCTACACATCGCTGTTAGGTTGCTTTGCCGGGATAATTTGCGTGCGAGGGGCCTCTCGCCTCTCGTCCGCCCCCCTCTGTTGGAAGCACTTTTGAAGCTTCTTGGGAGCCGTTTGGGAGCTCCATGAGGGCTGTTTTGGGCTCCTCGGGGGCTTCTCGGAGCCCTCTTGGGCCGGCAGGGCGCCTCGTGGGCCATCTTTGGGCTGTCTTGGGGCCGGCTTGGGCGCCAATCGGGCCGTCTTGGGGCCATCGTGGGCTGTCCTGAGCCCCTCTTGGGCCTCTCGTGGGGTCCTCTTGGGTCGTCTTGGGCGCCTCTTGGGCCGTCCTGGGCCCGTCTGGAGCCATCTTTGGGCCCTCTTTGGGGCCGTCTTGGGCGATCGTGGAAGCCTCTGGGGCCGTTGTGGACGCTTCGAAAAGCAAGAAGCCGAATCTGCTGAAAATGACAATTTTCCAAAGGGAATGTGCCGACTTTAGCTTGAAGGAACCCTTTCGAAGGACCCCTTGGACTCCCCTGGAATCGTCCGGGGGCGTCTTTGGGGCTCATGGGGCCGTCTGGAGAGCATCTTGGGCCGCCTGAGGTCGTCTCGGGGCCTCCATAGGCCGTCTCGGGGCTGTCCTGGGCCCCTCTTGGGCCTCTCGTGGGGTCCTCTTGGGTCGTCTTGGGCGCCTCTTGGGCCGTCCTGGGCCCGTCTGGAGCCATCTTTGGGCCCTCTTTGGGGCCGTCTTGGGCGATCGTGGAGGCCTCTGGGGCCGTTGTGGACGCTTCGAAGACCAATGAGCCGAATCTGCTGAAAATGTCAATTTTCCGAAAGGAATGTGACGATTTTTGCTTGATGGAGCCGTTCGGGGGACCCCTTGGACCCGCCTGGAGCCGTTCGGGTGCGTCTTTGGGGCTCCTGGAGCCGTGTGGAGAACATCGTGGACCGCCTGAAAGCCGTCTTGGGTCGTCTCGGGGCCTCCACGGGCCGCCTCGGGGCTTTCCTGGGGAGCTCCGGTGCCGTTTTGGGCCCTTCCGGGGGCCCTCCTGAGCCGTTTCGGGGTTCTCTGAGGGCTCCGGGGACCGGGGGCCCCCGCAAACCCACCAAGCATCTTCTGGATTGATTTGAATTGATATATATATATATATATATATATATGGATTGACCCCCGTACCCATGCGCTCCAATGCTGTGCAGGCACAGCAGAGAGGGTCGCCGCAGGCAGCCGGATAGTTTGTGCGCGGGCCGATGTTGGGTCCACCGAAGCTGTTCAGGTGGAAGAGTATGATGCTCGGGTTGATCTTCTGGAGTGCCTCCAGGGTGATGCCCAGCGCCTCCAGCTGCGGGTCGACCCCGTTGAAGGTGACGATGTCAGACCTGCGCACGAGGCGCGCGAAGGCATGGAATCCATCGGGGGTGCTCAGGTCCAACAAGGTGCTCTTCTTCCCGCGCATGGCGAGAACGCCGAAGCCGACCATGATGACCGGACCATAGCTGGGATGGGGCAGGTCGATCTTGATGACCTCGGCACCGAAGCGGGCGCACAGCACACCAGCCATGGGGCAGGCGATGACGTTGGACAAATCGAGGATCTTGACACCCTGCATATAGCCCCTGCCGGTCCCCGTTCCCTCCGCAGGGGCAGCCTTGAGCGGCGCCGCAGACTGCGGAACCGGCCTTTTGGACGCGAAGCTGGTCGCAGAGGTCTGATGTTTACCGGCTTTGGCGGAGCTCCCTGAAAGCCACACCAGAGGCCCGGGAACGAGCATCTCTTTGCCGAAGCCCGTGCCCATGGCCCCATCCTCTGTGCCCGTGCCCACAGGCCTCGACGGCGCTGGCCTCATGAGGCCGCTTGCCCTGGCGTGGTCCGAATTGACCCACTCCTGTGTGGTCCTCGTGGCGCTGGTGGGGACCCGAATGGCTCCAAATTCCTGCTCCCACTCAAAGGCCGTCTTGGCCTTAAATCTCTCCTTGAAAATATCGATGATCTGTTTCGAATACGGTTCCCGCAGGTGGTACTGCCCCAGGACGGAGTCGCCCTGGTATGTCTGCTGCTCCCGCGCCCAGAGATCGCCGAACGGCAGGATCTCGAGCACCTCCTTCTCGCAGTTGAGGACCTGGAGAGTGCGGGCCACGTGTTTCATATGCCCCATCCCGACAATATAGAAGGGTCTGCCGTCCTTGCAGTAATACGTCTTGAAAAAAGGGTCCAGCATGTCCTCAACCTGCTCGAAAGTCATGTCCATGGGGATTCCGTCCCTCCTGCGGCGAAACAGCTCTTCCGTGCGCTTGCCCCAGTATCGCCGGGGCAGGTCGTCGACATCCAGCGTGTTGAAGCAGAGTGCGTCCAGCAGTGCACTCGCAAGCGGGATCTCGATGTGGTCGCCAATCCCGGTGTCCTCGCGAGCATAAAGCGCTGCCACCGCAGCGGCGCCCGCCAGGATGCCCCCGTATGAGCTCGCCAGCGGCAATGGCGAGTACGACGGGTTCACGCCTCGCAGGGACCTGGAGAGACCCATGTCTCGGCGGCGAGCGAGGGGGGGAAATGAGAAAGAGAAGGCCTTCCCAGAAGACGGCGGGACTTCTCAGAAGCCCTCTCTGAGAAGTTGTTTGTCTTCGGGGAAGGCTTTGCTGAAAATTTCGCAAAAGGCCAGGGCACCTCCGAACCTGCTGAGAAGGACTTCTCCCTCTCACTTCCCCCCCCTCGCTCGCCACCGAATGTCCCAGAAGACTCCGGCCCTGGCCATGATGACATGCTCGTGTGCCTTCACGTCCTGGAATTCTTCGTCGCCAGAGGCAAAGCCAGGCATGGAGACATAGATGAGGCCAGGATACGCCTTTAGCATGGCGTCTGCACCCAGGCCGAACTTGTCCATGCGACCAGGCGGAAAATTCTCGATGAGGATGTCTGCCTTTGAGATGTACAAGTCTCTGGCCTTCTGGACATCCTTGGCGTCTTTCAAGTCCAAAGTGACTAGATGCTTGCCCATGTTGAGCACAGAATTCGCCTGAGAATTCCAAGACGGCCGAGGTGGCCCAATGTGTATTACGTCAGCGCCCTGGTCCAGCAACATCTTCCCGCACATGGGCCCAGCAACGAACTGCCCGAAGTCCACGACGCGGATGCCGCGGAGAGGGAGGTCGGTCGCCGCGGTCGCGGAGCCTTTCCCCTTGGGATCAGAGCTGGCTCCCTTGGAGGGGGGCCCCGCTTTGCCCGAGCTGCACCCCATCCTGGCGGTCCTCAGGCCGTGCTGCTGAGGCCCACTGGCTCAGCTCGCTGCCTGAGTGCACGCGTGGGTGCGGCCAAAGATGGAGCCAAGCCTGAGCCAAGCCACTGAACCGCTCATGCACACGCGCCCGGAGGAAAGATGGCGGCTGCAAGTTTTTCTGATCGTAGTCGGTCAAGCATGGCCCCCGGACCCCTCCTGTGGGGGGACGTCAACTATACACTTACCGCCGATACAGATTGCCTCGAGACTCACATATCACGCCGCGTGTGAGACTTTCTCTCTTCAAGCTACTAAGACCACTTGAACCACACTCACTCCGTGTACTGTTGAGGCGCCAAATGCGCACATACGTTGTTCTTGCCTCCTTCGATCGTCCGTCATGCCAGTCAACACTCGACAGCCAGGCACTCCAGTGCGTGAAGCTCTAGGCGGGGCGGCTTCTGATGCAGAGCCTGTCGAAGTTGTGGCCCTCGCCACCCTCGCTGACAAGCGGGCCCGCCTCAAGAGACCCCTTCACGAGAGAGACGGCGACTGGGACCGCGAAGAGAAAGATCAGCGGGTCGGGAATCCGCTCCGGCAGCCGGACTTCTCGGGCGCCAGCGCCGCAACCATGGACATGGAGCCCGTCACGATGGGCGGCATTGCATTGCAGCCCTCCTCAAGCAGCAGCTGGTCCCCATGACCCCATCGCGAACGCTATGCGGAGGGATTCCGGGAAACTGGATATCAAGGTCACGTCCTTGAGCGAGACTCTGGCCAGCTGGCTGGAGAACATCGAGGCTAGCGTCATCAATGCCGATGTGGGCATTGACATGATGGAGGAGATGTTGGAAATAATACCCATGACCAGCGAGGAAATGGGCAAGCTCGTCGACGATCGCATTAAGATGGCTATGGCGAATAATGATCCCCACCACGGCTCTACTCCCTCCTCAGATCAGGCCTCCAACAAGCGGTTCGTTACGATGGTAGTCCGGAATTTGAACGGCGTTGGGGACCTGGCGACGGCCTCCGAGTGGATACATGAGAAGTTAAAGACACTGTCAGCTCCTCCGCCAGCAAGAGTCCATTCCAAAAAAGGGCTTCACAGGTGTCGCTCTCGTGGAAGTCCTCGACGTGAGCTCGAGGGGCAAAACTGTGGAGCTTTTACGCACCGCGGGCTACACCTCCAAGGACAAGAAAGTTTGGGCCGTCCGAGACCGTTCAGCACCTCACCGTGCTGCCCGGAACTACTGCCTCGGGCTCAAGCGCCTCCCGAAGGACGAGTGGCAGATCGGGTGCACGATCTCTGTCAGCGAGGAGGCCCCGTACGTGGTGACCGTGGGGGGCGAGCATGCGTTGACAGCGAAGATGCAGGGGGGACGGTCCACCTGGGCGGAGCTCCACGATCACCCGAAGAGCAAGGAGACCGCGGAGAAGTCGGATGACCTTGTGGCTCGTGCTGCCCGGGGCCTGAAGGGGAGCGCAAGAGGAGGGACCAAGGGGCACGGCCCCGAATAGGAAATGGCCCCCGGAAATGTTTCACCAGCAGTCGGCCCTACTGCAACCATGAACCCCAATGTATCACGAATTCGGTCCGCAGCAGCGTCGACCGCATGCACGTACACATGCACGTCTTCTTCTCGCATTGACTGTGGGGGCCCTGGCTTTCGGGGTGGGCCGCACGGCAATGTATGCATCGACCACCTAGGACGTCAGGATTGCATACCGTCTGGGTTTTTGCGGAGACCGTTTACAAACCGAACAGAGCAAGGGCGAAACGATCAAGGACGGGCATAGTCACAATCACACTGGTGCACCACATGATCCAGCAGAGCTTCACTTTCGAGCCCGCGAGTCTTCCTGGGGAAGGCCAAGGCGCATATGGAGGCCGTGCACATTACAGCACATAGGAACGTGGAACGTCTAGGGTTTGCGCGGCAATTCGAGTATCAAGATTGACAAGTTGTTGAAGATCGTGGAAGAGCAACACCTCGACGTACTGTGCATCCAAGAAACACACCTGCAAGACGCCGAAAACTGTACGCAAAATGGTTTTCAACTTTTCGGTCTGGCAGCACACAGGTGGACGAAAGATCTGATGCAAGAGTTGGCTTTATTATATCATCTCGCATCCAAACCGGAGTGGTTGCTTTCAAGGCGCGTGATGATCGTATCTGCATGCTACGATTGAAAATACGTGGCGGTAGAATTACTTGATTGTCTGCTTATGCCCCTAAGAGTGGCATCGACTATGAGCTGAGGCGATGATTTTGTCATCGACTACAGGACGCGGTCTGCCCCACCACCGAGCACTCAACAACAGATGTTCTTGGAGATTCAATGCCAGACTTGGTTGATCACGAGCTGGCGAAGAAGACATCGTCGGCCCACATGTGTACAAAACTCCACACACGGACAACAACGACTCGCACTCGGACCAGAATCTTCTTAGTCAAACTTGTGTTGCCTGCGACCTCCTAAAGGCCAATACTTCCTTCGAACAGCCTGACCACCGGAAAGTTTCTTACCGAGATTTGGGAACGCCACCAATGGTCGAGTATAGATGCCAAAGGGTTGGGCGGATTGGCCATATACTGCGTCACCAAGACAACTCCACCACTATTGATGATAGTTGGACTTGCCGGGCAGTTGCACTAAACACTCAACATGTTCTAAATGTTGTGCACACTTCGATACACTTCAAAGTGAAGGAGTCCAAAAATAAGAAACGTGCCGATAAGACGTCGTTGAAAGAAGAGAAAGCTAAAGATATGTTCGTGAGCGCCTTCACAAATGCAGCTAGCGCTGATTACCAGAACTGCACATTGGAGGGAGCCACGGCTGATATGCAATGAGCGTGCCATGAGGCAGCGTCGGCTCTACACAAGGCCGATCAGTCTAGACGCCCGTGGACAAGTCAACGGACGCTCAATTTGATCGCGGAGCGGAACATGTCGTCCAACCGGGAACTAGACTAATGAAAAGCTCCTCCACAAAATGATCCACGAATCGGGCAAACAAGACTGCAAAACATGGCTGGACGAATATTTGGGTAAAGGTGGATGGGGCGATGCCGATACCTCCGCAAATCCAAGCCGGTAAAACATGCAACCATCAAGAAACAAAGTGGAACATCATCCGAAACGACCGAACGGGCAAACATCATGGCTTACTATTTCGAGTCAGGTCAATGGCAATGCCGATACCCAGAACTACAACCAAAAGATCCCCGCCGCTTGGAGGTACCCTACTTGTCCGCACAGATGGTTTCACGATGGACGAGTTGCTGAAGGTGATACAAAAGCTCAGAAGTGGAAAAGCCGCGGGCCTCGACGACATTCCACCTGAGTTCTGAAGGCGCTTAACAATTCTAATAACGCAAATGGTGTCTTACTCTATGTATGTCAACAATGTTGGGCTAAGAAATGTATCCCGGACTCTTGGAGACGAGCCAAAGTAGTTCGTCTCTTCAAGACAGGGGAAACGGCATCACTGGAAAACTACAGATCCATTTCATTACTTTCCGCCGGGAGCAAAATTCTGGCGGCATTAATACATCAGAGGTCATTACAAGATGGTTCCGAAAAACGCACGCGTGCCTCTCAGTACGGATTTCGCACGGGATGTGGAACAGCAAGGCCCTTATGCTTGTAAGGCGCGCGATTGATGCTGCGACGCGGATGGAGGACTCTTGGTACTGATGCTGGATTGGGCCAAAGCAGTCGACATGTCAAAACCGGATTCAATGTGCAAGGACTTGGAAAGATTCGGGCTCCCGACCGAGAGAGTGGATATGGTGCGCTCTATGTATTCGGCCAGCTTCTTCGCGATCCAGAACCATACTGGTACCTCTACCAAGAGACGGCAGAACGCTGGAATCGCACAAGGGTGTCCGCTTTCTCTGAACTTATTCAAAGCAGTCCAGATCGTCATGCTGCACTGCGCGATCGATTCGCTAAATTTGGAAGAGGGGCCCGAAATGTGGTGGCCGGGGATGTTTTCTACGCCGACGACACACTTTTGGAATCCCCGCACCAATCCAAACTCCAGAGCATATTAAACGCTATCGTGGAGGAGAGACGCAAATATGATTGGGAACCCTTCTGGGGGAAGGCATGCAAATGCACAGATCCACAATCTATAAAAATACGACGCCGAGTGGTGATGATATTAAGACAGACCCAGACGGTGTGTATTTGGGGCGGTTACTTAGGTGTGATGGGGAAGCGTCCACAGAGCTATGCAGAAGACTGAGAGAAGCAAACACAACCTTCAAGCAGCTGAGCAAACTGTAGTCGCACGCATCTCTTGGATGGAGACGAACCTTAGATTACACGATGACGTCGTTCTGAGAAAACTACTGTATTCGTTGGATTCCATCTGGTTGTTGATAGCAGACAAACGCCGGCTCGATGCTTTCCACTACCGATGTTTGCGACGCATTTATTGGGCTCCCACACTCGTTCATATCGCGGGTCCGCAACGCAATCGTTCTCGACAAGGCAGGGGCGACACCGCGTTCGCAAGTTTTGGTTGGCTGGCAGATCCAGTTGTATGTGACCGTTGCCGCACATGGACCTGCGACTTTGGCGAGGCGAATTGTCTGCAATGGCGACGGGTCGCCGAAAAATTGGGCTCACAAGCGCAGGCGCGGACGACCGAGACTACAGTGGGCATCTTCGTCAGCTTTTGATGTGTCGCAACATGTCTGAGCAGATCTCGCAGTTTCCTGCCTCCTCGCCAGAGTGTCACAGTCCACCCTTTGATTGCCTAAGCGTCCGTCCGGATGCTTGGCTTTTGCTTGCTTGCTTGCTACCGATTGGCATGGACAGGATCGGTGCTCGTACAGTGTATCGCTGACGCCCACTCGGATCAGACAAACAGAGGGATTAGAATTAGGTCGGGCGTGTCCCCCTACAGGCGGATTTTGGACGAAAAATAAGAAACTACTCAAAGAATGCACCAAACATATTCAACTATTTTTCTACTATTTCTGAATAGTCCCCCTGTAGAGTGAC